CATGCTGGTTGATGTCTATTTACTTGCTTCCTGCAGGGGACCTCAGTCGTCGGGGAGGCAGTGGTTAGGTCTTTTATCTCATGCTGCCAGGATGGATCCCAGGATCCAGCAGTGGGACTGGCACCTGATAGGAGCTTGCTGGAGATGGGATTAGACGAAGTGCCCCGATGGCAGATGGCGGAGGGGGCCCCCCAGGCTGAAATTCCTGTTACTAGGAATTCCCAGGTTCAAGGGAACTAGGTCCTCCAAGAGGATCTCAAAAGTCAGGGAGAGAGAATGGACAGTAAAGTGTGAGAATTAGAACATTTTGGGGAAACACCCCACCCCCTGCTTCCTAAAGAAATGCATTGATGGTTCTGTCAGTGGGGTCTTATTATTCATCCTGTCACAGGGGGTGGGGGGGCACTCCCCTGAATGAAAAGTGTGGAAGAGACCATGTTAAACCTACACTGAGGTATGTTCTATAATTCCCGCAGAGCACGTCCTCGGACTGGGCCTGAAGAGCACTCTGTGAGACATTAATACTCTTCCTTCCCTCTAAACTCCCCAGTAACACACTAGGTCTTAGGACTGGGGCAGCTTTGGTGTCAGCAGCCTTCATTTCTTCCTTCCCTCCCTCTCTCCGTCTCCTATTTCCTTCCCATCTTTGCATCCTTCCAGGGCCTTTCTAAGGGTGACACATGAATATATGGATTGTTGTAACAGAGCAGGCCACAGATGTATTTGCATGTGACTGACGGTTGGCCTGCTCACAGGAGCACAGTCTACACATGCTGAGGGGGCCAGTCTCGGGCTGGTAGGGATGCCTCTCCCCCGACAAACTGTTGTTCGGCCATCTGTGAGTGATAAATCAGGTGCCCCAGCCCATGGACATCCAGAGGAGAAGATTTCTCACTAGATCTGAGATTCTTAAGAACAGGAATGGTGTCTTGTTCATCTTAGCTTCCATGTGGTGCGTCACTCACAGTCGGTCCTGGAGAATGCTTGTTGAATAGATGTGCTAGTCTACGACAGTTGTAAATCGCATGCTAATTACAAACGGCAGAGAAGACTCTGGGAGCCTTCTACCCCAGAGGCCAGGAGCGGAGCCAAGAGTAGCACAGGGTGTGTGCACCACTGAACAGGCAGATGGTAAACACATCCTCAAGTGAGAGAATCCAAGTTGCCATAACCACAAAGCCTGATTGGATGTGATGTCCAGGTTATCTGAACCCTGGACCAGGAGTCTGAGATAAATAGCAAACCTTGCAGCTAGAAACACATTTTCTCATCTTTTAAAGCTTCTTATCCAAAAGAAAAAAAAAAAAAAAAAAGGACAATGGGGTTTCTCTTTTCTTTTCTAAGCCCAAATGGGGTGCCCTCTGTGGTGCTGGCACTTACTCAGGAAACATCTGAATGAATGATTTGGATGTGCAGGCAAGCTGGCAAGGACATCTGTCACAGAGCTGGCGGCCAGCATGGATTTGGCTGGTCCAGCTGGCTGGGCGGGGCTCCCCCTCTTCCCTTGGTGCCCCTTCTGGAGCTGGGGAGGCTGGCTGCCTTCTGAGATAGAGCAAAGCCTTTCTTCTGTGTAAGGAGGTAGTGTACGGAATTTCCTAGGACGCTTCTTCTCCTGTTTTATTTGACCCATTTACCACCATTTGCAGAACTTCCTTATCTGAACATTAAGTCCCACCTTTCAAAAGTCCTGGAAGGCCTTTCTCCCAGTTTCCTGATGTGGTAGTTTTATCATCCTCAATCCCAGAGTTGCCGGCGTTTGATGTTTCTGTGTCAGGGCACGTTTTTTTCTGATGGCAGGTTTTTGGCAAAGCCGTCAGCCTCATAAAACAAGGTAATGGTCCTCAGGAAGCAATCACTTTAGCTATTGTTTCACAGCAGTTGCCCCGAAATCCTAGAAAGGACCCAGCAACTTCACTGCAGAGGAGCAAAAGGCATAACAGCAGCAACAGCGGTAGCAGCAGCAGCATGTAGATGGCCAGGAAGGTGACTGCTAATTTTACAAGTGCTCGGAGATATTCTGGCACCTTCCTAGGACACCGGGGTCCTGCAGTCACTTTTGCTGGCCGACTTTTCAATCTCCTAGCATTGAACAGCTCACGTAAGAAAGAACGTTATTCCCTTGTACAGCATGGCGATTTTCTCTAAGGTCAGTATTGCACATGGGATGCCTGATGGGACATCGCTATAAAAATGGCAGCTAATTACAGGTTAGCAGATAAAACAACACTCTTCTCTGGAGATCTTGTTAGGTGGAAGGGTAAAATAGGCCTGAATGGTATTTGATGTCTTTGTGTTTATCCAAGTCACTGGCCCAGGCAGGAAGGTAATATATGAAAAGGGACATTTTTAGAATAGCTGCTTTTGAATTATGCTCATGAAATATACACTCTGCTAGGAAGGACATGTGGGAAAGCTACATTCTGACTGCATGACTAATTTTTAAAGCCTTGCATAGAGAGAATTCTCCTCAAGAACACAGCTGGGTTATTCCTTCATGGACTGAATGTGTCAATTATGAATTGAACTAAAATGAAATTTTACTCCATTATGGCAAAGTGAACTGAGGAGTGGACACTGGAGCTCGGGTATTACGTAGCAGTTCATACACCAAGTACTATTATTTTATTAACTTTTAAGAACATGTTTTACATAAAAACAGGCAACATCAAAAAAGCTCAGTTGATAAATGAACATAATATATCACAGATGATTTCATCCACATTAACCTACATTTATTAGCTTAAACTGAGAGATTAGGGGAAAAATTGGATCTCATTCCAGCTTTAATCATGGATACAAATCGTTTGAAAGTTATTTCATTAAGATTCTGAAAATCAAAGATTAACCTGTGCCATCTGATCCATGCAGCAATTGATAAATTCAGTATTTTCGAAGGAAACACTGTTTTTTTTTCCTTGCACCAAATTGAAACCTTTCAGAAACTTGTTTAAATGCATCAGGTTCCTAGCCCACCTTTTCAGTATGCATGAGCAAAATACTATTTAATTTCACACTCAACTAATCCTTTAATAATTTTCTTTCAGCCAGATTGAAAAAGACCATTATTAATTTCCTAATAAAATTAAAAAAAATAGTTATCGAGGGTGTGACTCTAACCTTGGACCAGTTTCAATTTCTTTTTATTTTTTTTGAGAATATATCAAAGATTAATGTCAATGGTCAGTGAGAAATTGTCCCTAGAGAATTATTCAAGGTCTTTTTCTTACCACATTCGATTGGACTGGAATGAATTGACATTATAGCATCTTTATCATCACTTTTAAAATCCTACTTTCTCTTAATACCGACAGTGAAGGCTTTTAGAACTATTATTTACTTTAAGTTAATAAAGTATATCACAGACAAAAATACACAATTTTACATTGAAGCGACATTAAGGGTCTCACATCAGTTAACCAAAAAAGAATGTTGAGGACATTTACAGGTAGGGTTTTAATTGTAGAGATTGCTCTTCCTTTATGAAAAAGTATGAAACTAGAGCTCTCACTTGTCTCCAAGGGCAAGAGATTGCAAACCTCATGATCAAAACACCTGCCGGTTAGAGGCTCACTCACTGAAAAATGATCGCATAGCTTCAGCGTTGAAGCCCGAGAATGACAACAACAAAAAATCCAAAGGAAAAATGAAAACCACACCACGCAGAGGCATTCTCAGCTTCTACATTGAATTTCCTGTTTCCCACCAGTTTACGACCCTTAATGTTACTGGATGAATGGTTGCATATTTGAGATGATTAAAAAATAAGACTGCCTTAAAAGCACCACCTCCTCAAGTATGTAACTACATACAAATGGAAGATTCCTTCTGACAGACAGTCCTAGGGACCCCATTTGTTACTGTTTCATGTATAAGCACCATTGAGCCAATTTTTAAAGCACATTTGCAGTGATCAAATGTGTCCTCAAGTTTTGCTGATTTTTTTGTCTTTAAACCAAGAAAGTGTGAAGTGCATATCATATTACGTGCTTATCATATCCGAATTGACAAAAATGTTAATTTGGAAGTGCTTTTAATCACTATTTTCCTCAACAGACCAGAATGGCTTCATGAAACTTGATTAAATAAAGAAATCCGTATCTCCCAAAGAAGCATATATCTGACCCTCTATCACTGCATGCAAAATAAGGGTCTGTCTGAGAGCATTTTCCCCAAACTTTTAATGGAAATGGCAGACAACACGCAGGAAAGGCCTTGAACTGACCAACTTCAAGCCTTAAAAAATCTTTGATTGGATTCCCCCCCCCCCCCCCCCCCCGAAATCATATAACAGTTTAAAAAATTAACGAATTACAAATTATAGAAAAGATACATTATCTACAATATATGCCAGGTGACTCATTATTTGTTTTTAAACCCACATCCAAATGAATAATTACATTAAACTACCATCTTGGATCTTGGTGCTTTCTAAAATTCTGAATTCACAATGAGGGAACATACCTGATTTTTTGGTTGTTCTTTTCTCGGGAGAATTGGGCAGAGAAAAGAAGGCGGCGAACCTTCACTCTTTGGAACAGGCCCTCTATAGCAAACTTCAGCCTGGGGCACCTTTTTATGGTCAAATTAAAAACCTTTGAAATTAGAAGTTTATCATGGAAATGCTGACAGATCCTGACCCAGAGACAGGCTAGCAGGCAACACAATAATATTAAGAAAGCTCTCCCTCAAGCACAATGGCCTTTCAGCACAGGGGATAGAGTCGTCTAATGGGCACTGCGGGCCAGCAAACAACCATGATTTAATGTACATGAGCCTTGGTCATACGATAGCTCCGTGACCCTCTAAGCTAAGCCAATTTTTCTTTTCTTCTATTATTTTTTTTTCCAACTGAAACATACCTCAAAGGGTAAAGGACCGCAATTTTAGTCTTCATTCATGGATATATTGCTTTTTTTCAACAATATCTGATGGGCCTGTTAACCACCACCCGTGCAGGTCCTGAGCAGGTTCTAGGAAGGTCTCACTGAACACAAAACACCAAGCGTTTTCAGTAGTTTATTTGCAATTTTTTCTCTGCTTATTTTAGTATGCACCACGTGTAAGTTAGATAAGGGCTACAGTAAAAACATTTTCAATGACTGAAATCTTACTTTTCCTTCTAATGATCTGGAGCAAATCACATATTCATTGATTATGACAAATAAAATGATTTCTGCTACAATGTCGAGAAAAAAATGTGTTCGTCAATATGAACAGTTCTCATCTACAGAGATGGTTTACACGATGCAAGTAATGAAAGTTTTTTCCTTAACAAGTCTACTACCAAACTGAAACAAAATGAATCTTAAAATTCCCTTGAAAATACCATATGGTTGGTCATGTATCAATAAAGGAAAGACAGTCCCCATCACCAGGCCACCACCATAAGAGCTATATTAAATACTTAGGAAAAGAAATATGGAGACACTTGTGGCAATGATTAAATTGATAATTATAGAGATAGATACACTGCCATAATGGTACATGTTTATTCTATAATAAAGTGAAATAAAAAATAAGATCATTTGGTTATAGAAATTCCTTAAAGAACACCACCACTTAATTATTTCAAACTTGAACTATCCCAAGAATGTTGTGAAAAAAAATAGAAAGTACTGACTAAAAGCAAAAGCAGTCTGGGTACACCCACGTAATCAGCATGCCTTGTGCTTGTCTGTTAACCCTCTGAGTACATCTCTGACATTCAGGATCTCAATAGCTTAGTGCTGAAAAGATTGCATTCCATCTGATTACTCAATATTTCTACTTGACAGGTCACATTCCGCTGTTTATTCAGCATAGATCGCTCAAATTCTACAGCGATGCACTGGGATCCCCATGCTGAATGGCCCTGCATTCTTCCGAGCTACCCCTCTGCAGTGTTCTGGGAAACACGCCACAGCTTCACACGGTCCACAGTCCTTCAAGACTTGGATGGAAAAAGGCCTGAGCCATGCACTGTAAGGTCTGTACAATAGATATTGGAGCAATACATGTAATGCCCACGGGAAAAGCAGTAATTCAGAGAAATTCACAATCTACTGTAGGTAGGTCTCTGCCCATAGGATTTTTTCATATTCCCACATTTAGAGTTAAGGCCAAGCTATTTACCTACTCCGTAGTCTTACTTAGAATAGTGCTTTGCTTTAGAGTTCTAGAGAAAGCAGTCGTTTCTGACCAGTTCAGGGAACTTTACTAATATGGAATCTACCTACACGCCGCACCCTTCCTCGTGTTCTGCCCTCCTCCTCCCCAAGAAACCCAGCTGATTTGTGCTACTTTGTGATGTTGTGTATTAAGCTTTCAGGACCCTCTAAAAGGGAGTGGGGGGGCAGGGGGGAATCTCAATAAATGATCTAATATATACATGGCAAGACAACACAGACCGAAGAGATAAACCTAAATGTGAAAGAGCAAAAAACTGGGGGAACAATTCTGCAAAAGTCATGACATGCTGTGATTTTAAAATCTAGAGTAATATAGACCATACCTTTATCAGTTGAAGAGTAAAAACCAGCCATCGAAGATCCATCTGTATTTGAAAGTAAGGACTGACTGTGGAAGTGCTGCACACAAATTTCAAGACTTTCAGGTATTGAAGTATATTTCAAAGCCGAGACAGTGAGTGCTGTTCAGCCATCTAGATGCAGATTTCATGAGCCATCACTCACTGGTTGTCTCCCGGGCCACAGAGTTGAGCAAACCTTAGGAGGACATTCGAGTCGGGCCCCTGCCTCCCAACACCATGGCCAGCCTCCCCACTAAGCATCGCAGTGACTACAGGCTGCCTCAGGCCCCCGTTCTGAACGTGACACACTGCAGTAGAAGCTCACTGGGGGAGACACACGGCTAGGGAGAAAGATTTGGTAACAGGAGTAAAATACACGTGTCGGACAGGACTTGGCCCAAAGAGAGAGAAACAGCATCTCCCTCTGGATGGCTAAAGACAGTGCTATAAAAAGGTCATCTTGGGCTTCCCTGGTGGCGCAGTGGTTGAGAGTCCGCCTGCCGATGCAGGGGACACGGGTTCGTGCCCTGGTCTGGGAAGATCCCACATGCCGCGGAGCGGCTGGGCCCGTGAGCCATGGCCGCTGAGCCTGCGCGTCCGGAGCCTGTGCTCCGCAACGGGAGAGGCCATAACAGTGAGAGGCCTGCGTACCGCAAAAAAAAAAAAAAAAAAGGTCATCTTAGGGAGTGGAAGTTTTATCCTCAGGAATACCCTCTAGGTCTCCCATTCCTGTTCTCCCTGAGAGACTATTATGTAGGTAACCCAAAGATGCACATGGAATTATCTTCCCAATGGTTTATTTCTTTAAAAACCATTTTGAGACTATTCTAGATTGTTTGCCCACTCTGCTTTCTCCTCGGCCATCTTGCAGAGCACCTGCCTCTGGGCCCCTATGCCCCGGTGCTCCTCCTTTTTACGGATTCCATACTCTATGTGGATTGCACACTGAAGACTGAAATGCATGAAAAAGCAGGTGAGAAAAAGAACAGGATCTTGTTGCCTCTTTCTGTTTGACATTCCAGCCCTATAGAGCACCTGGCAATTTATTGCTCTTTTCCACCAGTTGTGTGTTTTTTTTTCCTGTAGAGGTCTCATACTGAGCAGTCAGACTCTCACTCACCAAACACAGGACAAGATACGGTGCCTTCCTGAGGGTCTGCGCCGGCAGGAGCAGCAGCTGAAGTGGAAGCAGCATTTCTGGGGCGTCATCAGCACATCTTCATATGGAGGCAATTTGGGGGTGAGGGCACCATCTATATTCTGGGTCAGGCTGTTGGTCACAGGCCCAGGTCCCTCCACTCAGGATGCAGGACTCAGGGCAGCTGACAGACCTCCAATGCAAAGAAAGCCCCTTTCTTAATAGGATTGTGAAGAGGAAAGAGGGGGTGCTGATTCTCAAGTTATAAACCTGCCATGTTCTAAACCCACAAAAAAGGACACGCAAGATATCATTCTAGACGCTCTTCTTGTCTGGACATCTCAGCATCTAATAACAACCCCTTGATCTGCAGCAAAGTCAAGAAACATGTGTGTATAAATCCAAAGGCCTGAAAAATCCCCCAAGGGTTCCCCATAAAATCCTATGCACTCAGAGGGTTAACAAGTGCTATGTTACATACTGCAGATCCTAGATTGACTGATGAAAACATTCATTGCTTCTATGTTTAAAAAAGTTGCAAAGTAGCCTTAACCCTTTGAGGACCCGATTAGCAGCAAGTTGCCATCTCCACCAACGACAAGTCACAGTCTCATTCAGCAAAGGGAAATCGCTACAAGGATACCAGAAAACACACTGTTCTGCTCGGCCGTTCAAGCATTGAGTGCTAGGTAGATCAGATGAAACTGTTTTACATAAATTTGGAAAAACAAATCTCAGAGTCTCAAAGGGTTAAGCTAGGACTTCGAGTAAATGGGTCTTGTTAAAAGGGCGAGTTTGGGGAGCGAACAGTCTCGGAGGAGCTCGGGGAGTAGTCTTCCGATTCCGAGTTGAGTTCGGGCGGAGCTGGCTGGGCCTTGTACCGGCTCCTCACATCCGGGTGGCGTCTTCGTCGGAAAACCTGCCTCTCCTTATCAAGAGCGGTGGTCTAGCAGGGGCATAAAATGAGAAAGAGGACAATTAGGCTGAAGGAAATGGCAAAAGGAACGATTTCTGGAACTTTCTGAGGTCAGAAAAATATGCTGGCTAAGTTGACCTGTCCACGATGACTCACTTTTGGTGACCACAGTCACCACTGCTGGGGTGCCCTCTGCTCCCCCAGAAGCAGCTCCTAAGGGCACCTGGTCATGACATCGCAGGCACAGGCAGGATGGATGATGTCGTGGGTTCAACAGCTCCCTGGCCCTCCCCAGACCTCCGCTAGCACCACATCTAATACCCTCTGTCGCTCCCAGCCTAGCCAGAGAGCCCACCCCTGGTAAATGGGAGCCTCGAGCCTGTGTGTCTGACACGTGAGGACGCCAGGCATGTCTCGTTCATCAACATTCAGCTCCAGGCAGCTGTCTAATAAAGATGAGAGGTGATGAAGTTGTCAGACATGGAAACAGAGCCACAAGCTCATCCTGTTATTTTAGCACCTCCTCATTCTAAATGATCTTATTATCTGTTGATGAGGGAGTATGGCTCAATCTCTGGCAAGGATGGGTTTAATCTGAATGAACCCAATGCCTGAAATTGAAAACTGCTTTGAATGCAGTTAAACCTGATGGAAACCTTCCCATGGATTTTCCTTTACAAAGTTCATTTTCATTGTAGTGTGTGGTAATTTACGAAACTGAGGTTCGATGTTGTAGGTATTCCAACTCTTGGGCCCTATGCCTCCTTTTCCTGAGGAAACCTCATATGATCTCCAGGATGTGCTCTCTAGCCATAGCTCTGGAAGTTATTATGACTTCAGGATTGGGAAGGGCATGACTTCATTACAGATTTAATGGGTGTGAGGAGGAACGGATCATTACAGAGAAACCTTACACAGAGGGCAGAAGAGCAGGTACAAAGCCTGAAGAAAAATGCAGAACACATATAAAAGTTGAAGGCATCCTTGTTTGAAAGTCCCTCTTTAAAAGGATGTAGCCTGGAGGTTATTCTGCTTTTAAGAGATTACTTTTCCTCTACAGGGATATATACCACCATTTTTCCTCTTGGAAATTTACTGTTAGCTTCTTCAAAGAAAGAACAGAGATAAATTTATAGCCAGCCGGGTTCTGAGAACAAAGTGAAAACTAAGCCCCTCATACAATTGCAGTGTAGCATTAGAGCAATCTCAGATCTAAAATGGGGCAATCAAAGTTCCAGAATGAAGTAATAAAGAAAGAGAGGCTGTGTGTAGAAACCAGTACAGTAAATGGCTTCATGAGGCTGAACTGTTCTGCTTTAAAAACTATCCACACACTGAATAACAGTGTTACAAATCAATGAGGAAGATAAACTTTAATAATTCACTTCTCGTTTCACTAGATTGTTAATACAATGATTCAATCACTGGTGTGTTGAAATGTCTACCTTTGATTCTTCGAAGTGTCGAATTTTTAAGGACCCTCAACTCACATACATAGTTCTTGGTCTTATACCCACCGATTTTATGATATTTTTCAGCATCATAAATCCAAATTCCTAACTGTATTTAAAACATTGTAAAGTTACAACACATGGTATTTTGCTTTCAAAGCAAACTGAAAATGCTCTGTTTGTGTAGAGTTGAATGTAAAAACAGGCGTCTATTTAGTCTGACACATAAAAGCCACTCTGTAGTTAATCCAAGAGTAATACAAACGCTTCTCTTGGTCATAAAAAATATTTTTATTTCTACCTTCTTGAGAAAGAAAACAGTCACTGGCATGGGACTAATACTGACTAGTGGACTGAGGTTCTCTAGTGTCGGGGAGAAAATTGCACAGCAGGTTTGTAGTCAGAAATTTTGAGTCCTGTTCCGTCCACTGCTGACCATGGGAACCGTTCACTCAGTTCTCAGTTAAATAAGGAGCAGGGATAACGCCCTCCCACCCTCCAGAGTTGCTATATATAAAAATGGATGTGCAAATGCTTTCAAAATGGTGAAGACTCCCAGAAATGGAAGGTGGTGTTTTGTTTTGTTTTGTTTTTCTTTACAATGTAAGATATTGTTTTGAAATGAAGGAACTGCAGGTCAGAGGAAAACAATGCAAAACAAAGCTCTCATTAGAACTTACCTCAGAGTACCTTCCCTCCCTGCCTACTCTCACTGGCACCTTCTCCATATTTACCTCATCTCCCCATAATTGACTCAATTATTCCAAGTCACGCTCTTGGCTGTCAGCACTGAAATAAGCCATTTCTCCACCAATACTGTAACGCAGTTTATGCAGACGCTGGTGGCACTCATGGGCTTGGATGGTCCCATCCCCCTTATTTTCATGTTCATTTGTCCAGATGCTCATAAGGTCAGTCACATCCTCTTCCTTACTTGTCCCTCTGCCTGGACAACCCTTGCTCTGTCCCATTTAAGCAGTCAGTCCTGGCCACTCCTGCCAGTTTCTCTAGTTAGCAGCTTTTAAATGCTGGCCTTTGTTGACGGGCCTTCATGCTCAAATGCTCCTGAGCTTTCAGTTGTGTTGATTCACCAGTAACTTCACAGCAGCTATTTTTGGAGACATAGCATGTCATGATCACAGGTCATGGAAAAGGGTGTGATGGTTCTTTCTGTTGGATGTATAGACTCTTAGAATTGAAAGAGCATTTATAAAGCATTCTTCGCCCGGGGCTTTGCCTTTACAGGCAGGGAAACTGAGGGCCAGGTATGTGGAGAGACTTGCCCGTATCGCATCACTGACTAGGAATAGAACTCAGTTCTCCTCCCACGTGAGGCCCAGGCAATTTCTTCCCATTTAAAGTCTATTGAAACAGAACTCAAAGGAGCCACCGCACTCCAGTGGTTCCCTCCTCCGGTCCTAGCCAGGGTGAGCCAGGAAGGAGATAGCATGAGCAGCGTCAGAGGCCAAAAGACTAGAGCTTCACGTGCTGATGGCCCGAGAGCTCTCTCAGGGACAGCAAGCCAGCCTCCACCACGTGGACAATCCCATTCTGGGCCTGTAAACTCCTAGGGAGACCTGGGTCTGCTGATTGATAGACAGGCAGTTCCTGACTCACCCAGGTCCTTGCAACATTCTCAAATGCTACACAAGCAATGCTTAGTGCCCCCAACAGACTTGCTCCCAAAGATGACTGAGAGGGCATCACTGTCCACAGACCTCTCCTCCCAGGGCTCTTGCTTATTCTGCTTCTGGCTCTATGGACTGTGGTTCATTTTAAGAACCTCTCTGTGTTCCCAGGAAGCCCAGTACAGCGATCACTGTGCATCCTGCCTGCAACGCAATCGACTCTGATGCACTGTCTTCCCTGCCACATTGTAGACTCTGTGGAGGGCAAGATCAAGTCTGGGCATCCCGTCTGTGTTCCCCACAGCTCACAGCACACAGGAGATACTCTCTAAGTGCTGTGGCTTTAGAAATATGAGAAAGCACAACAGAGGTCGCATTATTTCCCTCTAGAGCAGCCAACCCCCAGCCCATCCTGCACACAGCAGGTCCGATTTGTTTACAATTCCTCATAAAGTTGGACTCCTTGTCCTAACAGTCACAATGTGCTTACAATAAGAACTTCCAGGGTCTAGTTCCTGTTATTACTCAGAGCGATCACTGTGATATCAGCAGACCTCATGTCCCCGTTAGTGGGCACAGCATCCATTTAGCTTACGGTTAACCACGCCTCGGTTTCCCTTTGGAAGTCCCCCGCTCACGTAATCTGTGGTTCCAGTGAAGGGGACCCTACCTCCATCTCTGAGGGTGGGGTGCAGATGGGTTTGTGACCCAGAAGCAAGCCTGTGCTGACTGTGTTCGCCAATACCCGTGATTGGTTCAGGATGGGCACCCGACCCAGTTCATGGGACATGAGGAGACTTTCACTGAGACTGCACATTCACAGTGAATCCCAACTGAGAGGATAGCAAGCCTGGAGCTGCTTCCCACATCCGGTACCACGTGAAGTTCCAGAATAAAGCCATCACGGGGAGGCAGAGTGGAGGGATGGAAAGAAACCAAGCCCTACCGAGTGCTGAATCCACACATCACTGAAGCCAGACCCAACCTTTGGACCTTTCACATTATATAAAATCATACTTCTTCTTTTTGCTGAAAGCCAGTTTGGTTTGGGTTTTCTTCCCTTGCAATCCAAACAGTCCAAACTGATATCTCTCTGAAGGTACTTTAATCACGCTCACCTCTGCATCCTGGCTTACCGTGTTCACCAACCTGACATCACCTCTCCCACTTCCTGCCCACTCGCATTTCTCTATTTTCCAAGATTTGATCAAAGTTTACCTTCTGCATCACACTTTTTCTTTCTAAATTCCTCAGGCAAGTATTGTCTTGACCAAACTTTTGACACTTACTGCACACAGGCCTATTACCTTTCCTTTGCACATTTCCCAAATCCCATGCAAGCTGCTCTAGGGTAGGATCTGAAACTTCTGTGCATTTTTCCAGAATGCCTAGCCAACTGTGACACACATATAAGGGACATATTAAATAGTTCTCAGTTAATACAGAATTAGATTATTTTAGGTGATTATGTACTTTCCGAATAGCAATGACAAAAGAAAACAGAACCCCGAACAACTCTATAATACAAAAGAGTAAGAAGTTAAAGGTATTACGAGTCCAATATTTAAGAGTGCAATTTGTTTTAGATATGATCAAATGCTTATATTAGATAACATTAATCACCTCATATATTTATCTACTCAACAACTACATATTGTGGTCCAATTCCTTATCACAGTAAGCACTGTTATATATGATATCTTTAGAATTTTAAGTGTAGCTGTAAAATTAATTGCCTCTAAAATCTGTACAGTTAAAATTTTACAGTTGAATTCTGTGGCCCAACATGTAGTTCAAGACAGATGAAGTCAGCAAAGAAATAGAAATAATAGGCCAACACATAATTTTTTAAAGTATTGCTATAAAAATATATATTATCCAACTGATAATTTTATCCCCAGAAAACATTCAAAACATAACTTTCCCTCTGAAGTGCTGTATCATAGATTTA